TTCTTTTTCTTTAATTTTTTTTAAACTATTTGGTAAACATCGCCGTCATTTCGAACTCTAGATCAAACTCAACCTCAGTGGCCTTAGTAGTCTCATGAGTACTGGTAAAAGCCACACTATCTTTTTGTTTTTTTTCTTAGAAATCTGGTAGACTTCATAAGTCTGCAAGTTTCCAACCAACTAATCAAGCTTGAGGTTTTCAATATCCTAAGTCTCCTCAATAGCTGTCACTTTTAATTGGAACCTCTCCGATAAAGACCTTAAAATTTTTCTGACAACCTTCGATTCGGGGATTTTTTCTTTGAGCGTGAAACATGAATTCACGATGTCACTAAGTTTTGCATAAAAATCATTAAACGTCTTATCATCACGCATAAAAAGAGTTTCAAAAGAAGAGGTGAGATGTTGAAGTTTCGATCTTTTAACAGCAGTAGTGCCCTCGTGAATAGTTTCAAGAATGTCCCAAGCCTCTTTTGCTACCTCACAAGTGCAAATACGACGGAACTCTTCTGGTGTGATAGAGCAAAATAGGAAATTGAGAGTGGTTTGGAAATATCAGCACCACCAATGGTGACAATAGGTTCACTCCACCCATAAAGCATACAGTGCCAAACTTTCTCATCGATAGATTTTAAAAATGCTCTCATACAAGCTTTCCAATAAGAATAGTTTGTACCATCAAGTAACGGAGGTCTATGGATCGAGTTACCTTCGTGAATTGAATCTATATCACAAATCACACAAAATCACACTCCTATAGTTTTGAAAAAAAACAAAGAATGACTTGCTTTGATACCAATTGAAAAATCTAAGTGATTTGTGATTCAGACTAGATAAATTGTAACAATACCCAAACAAAAAAAACAGACAATCTAAATCATCTAGTACATACGAAAGTGATTTAGATTGCCATTTCAAAATCAACACAATAGAAATATGAAAAAACCACAATTGGAGCACCTCCAATTGTGATTAAAAAACTACGGGCTAAACACCACTAATGAATCTATTATGAAAGTAAGAAATAATACAAATTAACCAAACAAATTACCCAAACTCTGTTAATTTGTCTTCAATAATTTATATCTCTTTCACCGCAACCTTTGTCTTAGAATTGATCAGATTGATGTTGAATCCACAACATCTGTGTTGAATCAATGACTGCGCATAGTTGAACTCCTTCGAATACTCCAGGCTTGAATCTCCAGATTCCATCGAAGAAGAACACTCAAACAATCAAACTCTTTGATGTATGCTTGTCAAACCATGTGAGTTTAATACTCAATCAAGCATCAAAGAAAACTAGCAAAATAGCCCTAGAAGAAAAACCTAGAACCCGCAAAGAAGATGTGGAAGCCGTACCCTAGATTTGGAGCAAACTGCAGTTTTATAGCTGCTGGAATCGCGATCTCCGCTCGAGCAGTGATGCTAAAACACGTGTTTAAACCAGGGTTCACGCTCGAGCGCTAAAACTTACGCTCGAGTGGAAAATCACAGCTCACAGTAATTTTGCAAACGAGCCAAAGTACTGAGAAGGTGGAAACGCTGCTCGAGTGCACCTTTTCCCGCTCAAGCGGAAAGACCAAAAACAAAGGAAAAAAATACAACTTGATAAACCCAAGCTTGTCTGCAGAATTGGCAATACGTAGGGTCCTAACATAGTGCTACATGCACAAATTAGTATACTAATTAGTGTATCAACACATATTATAGTATTGCAACTTCAAAATTATGGAATCCATCTATTATACAAATTACAAAACCTTAAAACCAATGATATAGCAAGTCGTACCAAAATATTCTTGGTGGGCCATGTCCAACCCTTGCCCAATAATAATAATAATAATAATAATTAGGTCAAATTACGTCGATAATCCATATATTTTGATTTTTGTATCATTTTAGTGTTTATAATTTCAATTGGTTCAATTTTTACCTTTACACTACAAAAAATTAAGGCTTTAAAAACCAAAATTTAGGGACAAAATTATTTTTTTGGCACCAAATATGTTTATTGAGAAAAGTGTCGTAATTATATTTTTAGCAATGAAAATTGGGCATTAGTGATGAATAATTATCCTTTTAGGACTACATTTTTTATCTCAAAAAATAAACCATTTTGAGATTAAATTATTTTGTCAATAAAAGTCTATTTATTAGTGACATTTTCAAAATTTTGTAACTAAAAATCTTGTTTTTGATTTTTCGGGACGATCTTTTAACAACTATTCTCGTAACGATGAAAATTAATCCCTAAATGTCTTTTGCAACAAAATTTTCACTTTAGAGACCAAAACATTTAGTCTCTAAAACTCTTATATATTGTAGTGCTAGTGAGTTAAGCTCAACAAATTTAGTTATAAATTTTCGTCAAAAACACTGATAGTATTATTAATTGGACTAAATTGGCACAAAATTTAAAATTTAGGGTCAAAATTGAGATAATTGAAAGTATATGGACCAAAATGATATAAGGGACAAAATATAGGCACTATCAGTGTAATTTGCCCTAATAATTATAAAAAGAAAAATAAATAAATACAGTAAAAATTTATTTGAAAACAAAAGGCAATATTACTACAGATTCTATAACCATAAAACATTAATATGAATTGTGTTTCTCTAATATATTTTAATAAAAGGAGGGAGAAAACCTAATAAAATTAAGAGGTGACCAATTAGACTAGTAAATAATGGGGGAAATATTATTTTAATGAAAACTAAAAGAAGAATATTAAGTTAATGAAAAAATTTATAACATTAAAAAGAAAAGTATGACTTGAGACTAATAACGTCTGGCTTTGTGGTTCAATTCTTGGTAAAGCCAAAACTCTTATTTTCACATGATGATGAGTGCATCTCATTACTTTCAAGGTGTTTAATCTAAGTTGGTGGGTACTTGGATAATTGATCAAGTGGTCATGGCAAATAGTTAAGTAGTGTTTGATTTATTAAAATGAAGTAAAATAAAATTATTTTATCAAAATATTCATTCAATGTTTGGTTAGAGTCTAAAAATAAGAATCATAAATATATTATAAATGGAATCATCTTTTACAAAAATAATTATTTCATAAGAAGTGCTGAAGAATCATCATTTTGTTCTATTCCTTCTCATTCTAATAAACCAAATAGAGTATTAAGATCCAAGATGGATGGGTTCATATTTAAGTCTACATAGAGATGTTGGTATGTGTTGTAATCTCACTATTAACATACTGACTGATATCAATAAAAAAAAATTAAAAAAAAAAAAAGAAAAAGGTAGAAAATTTAACTCACAAGTAACAATAATAATTTACTACTAAATTGATTTTTTTTTTTAATACTTTCCATTAAAATGTTATTTTTTTCCAAATAATTCGGCAAAGGACAAAGACCTCCATGATAGTGCTGGGTGCATCCACATTGACCACTGATGACTGATTTATTCACACCAAGTGGCTTGCAGCAAAGAACAAGTGGAAAAGGAACCTTATAAAACCAAATGGAGGGTGTAGATTGATCAATACATGGATCAAGTGGGGAAGATTATTCCATAGCACACTTGCCGAGGGGAATGTTTGTGGGTCCCTCTTCTCTCCAGACTAACTAATCTTTCTCAAATCTTTCAAAACATAAAAAATAAAAAATATAAAGTAGGGAAATGAAACATGGCATGGGAAAAGCAATGATCATTCATTGAAATGGGGGTGGCAACGTGAGTGATGATGTGTCTTCACTACTGTTTGGATACACAGAAAGAAACTAGTAGCAATGAATGATTATGTTTGTTTGATTTGCGTTTTAAGATAAGATATAATTTTTTTTTAAAAAAAATTAAAATTTTGTTTGATTTAAATTTTTTGATTTTTTTTAAATCATTTTTTTTCTACACATTAATCAATTACTTTTTTCTATTCTCTCTCATTTTCAATCACTTTATTTTTTTACACATTTACTTAATTACAATACAATATCAAATTATCCCAAACTCTTAAACTCTAAAATTATTTTTAAAATATACAATCAAACAAAAAAAAAAAAAATCTCTGAGCTTTCCAAATTTTTTTGTTAAAAAATTATCTTAAAACACAAACCAAACACTAGTGTTTTTTGAAAAATATCCTAGACTCTAAATAATTTATTAATTTTTTTATCAAATCTTTTACATATGCGTAGATGTCATACAAATATATGTGTGAATTTTATACTCATAAAATATTTAATAAATTATTTAGACTCTCTAACTTAACTGATGTTTTTTGGCTGTTGTTTGTATCGAAAGACAGTTACAGTGCCATGTGCAGGGTTCAGAGGGGTTCACACCTGGCTCTTCTTTCTCTTCATCCAATTGGCTTCAATCAGTTACTATTTGAATATGTTGATGAGATCTCAAAGTTCATACCTGTTTGCAAGAAATCAAAAAAAGGAGAGAGAGAGAGAGATGAACATTCAAAGGCACCATTGACACTCACGTGAGTTTGAGAAAATCAACACCACCACCATATAAGCTCTTGCTAAAAGCGACAGAAATACTCAACAAAGTCTTTTTGATCCACAACTTATAAAAAGTCATTACAAACTTGAACATACATTATTAAATCTTTGTACGAAGCCAACCAATGACATAAAATAGTGGGTAGCCTTATCCCTTTTTTCCCTTTTGTGACAGAAGAAAATAGTACCAATCAAGGGCATGGTGCGCAAGCCCTTTCCGACTAGCTAGCTAGTTGCCCTTCAAAAAAAATTCTGGGCTGTTCTTGATCTCTTCTTCCATCACTGAAGCCAACCTAAAAGAAGCTTCAAATTCCCACCATAAGGCTAAAGAAAAAAAACACAAGTTAAAATGAAAATAAAAAAGAAAAGAGAGAAAGAAAGAAAGAAAACCCATGTATCCTCTTATCTGTCAGTTTTGAAGAGATCCAAACAAGTAACTCAATCAACCCACCATGAGAAACAAACAAACACCCCCCCCCCCCCCCCAAAAAAAAAAAAAAAAAAAAAAAAAACAATCAGATTGTAGTTTATTATCTTCTTTACCATGATCCACCACCACCACCACCTAAGACTCCATTCCAATACCCAGTTGAATCTCCTTGCTCTCTATTTTGCTCAATATCAGAGGACCTTGAGACTAGTTTCAGATCTTCAAATGGAAACAAAGGCCTCCCACTAGTTTCTTGCACCCCTTGGAGACTTCCATACCCACTACTTCCAATTCCAAGCCCATCAAGAGAGAAATTTAGGGTTGGTTTGAATTCCTGCAGAGAAAACCCAGATGAGTAAAATGAGTTCTGATCCGATATCGGCATCATCGGCACCGACATGGGTATGAAAGAACTCAACCCCCTTGAGTTAATCCCAGTGAGAAGCTCCAAAGCTGAGAGGTGAGATGATGAAGTAGTTGTGGATGCACAAGAAGCGTTGTTCTTGTTGTCATCAAAATTGGGCACTTGAATGAGTTCAGAGATGGTTTTGAAATCATGAGATGGGTAAGCCAAGTTGAGATCCTGGCCTTCATGGATCTTAGGGTTTTGAGGTGGAAGAACCAGATCAGGAAGTTTCTTTGATAAAGATGATGATGAAGTTGTTGTTGATGAAGGTGAAGATGAAGATCTCTTGTTCTTTCTTGAACCTCCTCCAACAGGAATGTTTCTGAGAGATCCACCTTCAGTCCAATACCTTCTACAAGTCTTGCAAAAGTACCTTGGTTGTGTGAGACTGTAGTTGTTGTAGTAACAAAACTTGGTGTTAGATGAATTGCACCTTGGACAGTTCAAAGCTTGTTCTTTCTGAGGCCTAACCTTCCTCTCCATTGAAGAAGGCCGCTTTGAGTTTGAGCATGTGTTTGGTACTACTATCTCTTCCATTGATTTCACCACTATTTCCTAAAAAAAGCCAAAAAGGAAAAAAGGAAATGAAAATAGACATAAAGAAGCCAATACTGTACATAGACATAGCTTCAAGATCAAACAAAGAAAACCAATACCCACAAAACTTCAGATTCAAAAGAGGACATAGCAGAGAAACAAACAAACAAATCTAGTCAGCTAGCTAGTTGCTTTACACTTTTTTCAAAAAATCATATGTATATGCAAACAAGAAAAAGAACAAGCAACTAATAATAATAACAAATTTAGTCTTTTTCCAGACTCTTTATCTCACAAGCAAAAGAGCAATAAAGTGCAACATCTTGGATGAGTGAAAAAAATTTAAAAAACAAAAAAACAAAAGAACCATCATCCTTTAAAAAGGTGCCCAATAGACATGGCATGCCATGTATAGATGTAAGTTTATAGTAACATAAAAGAAAGAAAAATAAAATTAGGGTCTGATGGAGATGGAGATGGAGGAGTGGGTGATGGGTCTATACCTGTGGCCAATGAGCAGTATCCATGGATGAAGAAGAAGATGAAGTAGGGGTTTCTTCAGAAGAGAAAAATCACATCTATTATTGAAACAGCCAAACTGGTTCTAAAACCAATAAAATAAATGCTTGAGATGGTTTGTGCTTCATGTGGGTATATATATAAATGGGGAGAGAGAGAGAGAGAGGGAGAGAGGGGGGGGGAGGTCCTGTATAGAATTTTTTAATTGATTATTTTATTTATATATGAGTGGAAGAATGTGGGATAATTCATAATTTAATTAAAAAGAAATTGAGAGTGGGGGTGTCTGTACGTATGTACTGCAGAGGTGGCTTTGGCTTTTCCGACCAAAGAAGTAACAGGAAGTCAATTTTTCTTATATTTTTATAATGGATATCTGTTTATCTTGCTTTTTTTAAATTAGAGTCACCTCCTTCAGGTTGAAAAATATATATTACGTGTTATAGTTTTGCCATAATTATTTTTTTTATTATTAAAATTGAATGGATTAAAATTAATACAGATATTATAAAAATATAAAAATAAATAATGTAAAAAGAGATGATAATATTATTTTTTTAGCCATTTAATTAACAAATTATTAATGAAAAAGATACTAAGGGGTTATTTGGGATGTCCTAAATAAGTGCACTTTTTGACTTTTTATGAAATATGGGTTGGGTATGGGTTGGGTTTGAAGTGATGTGATAGAGAGGTGATGTGACTTAAATAAGATGACGTGACTTAAATAGAATAGTGATTTTTTGACTTTTTAGATTTTTTTGAAGATACCAAACTTGGCCTAAGTGTTATATAAATTAAAATTACAAAAGAGGTCATCAACTAACAAATTAGTGATGAAAAAATGATTAAGGCCTCGTTTGGGAACAAGCTAATTTAGTAACTTTTTGGCTATTTGGCTAAAAAGGTAGGTAAATAAAACTTGTATGTTTGGGATGACTTTTTGGCTAATTACGAAAAGATGTGCAAAAAGTAGAGAGAAAAGAGAATCTTTGACTTTTTGGTATGGGTTGTTGGCTTTTTGGCTAATTTAGTAACTTTTTGACTAATTGGCTAAAATAGCCTCTTGCCAAACGAGGCCTAAACCTACTGAATATAATTGTTGGCACATGATGAATAATGTTAGAGATTTTAAAAAAATTTATTAAAATTTTTATCAAATATTTAATGTGTATGTAAGATTCATATAAAATAAATCTTATATGAATCTTACATTTATACGAGGCATTTAATAAAAATTTTAATAAAATTAAATTTTTTTGCATTTTCAGGTACATGACCTCATGATTCTCGTGATCCAAGAATAATTTATGCCTGGAAGTCCATAGGTGGCGCCCACCTATTCTGTCCGAAGGCCACGTGGATACACCACGTCACATCCCTAGGCACCCACCCATTCACTGAAGTTATTAATTAATCAGTACAACCATGTTGCAGACCCAGTGGCGTCGCATCCCAGTGAGGAGGTGACGAGTCTCCACTGACTGGAATTTAAAAATAAAATAAAATAAAATAAAATAATTTTTTTTTTTTTTAAAAAAAAAAAAAAAAAGGTGAAGGTGTTTTTGGGTGAATAATACACGGTAAGGGTATCCCAAGGGCCATCTTCATTATCCCAACAGTAAGGGTAGTTTTGCCATGTACAACAAAAATTCTAGTTATTGAAAACTACCAAAAATTATTTTTATTTTTGCTCTACAATTTTCCATATAAATAGAAAGGCCCAACTTGTCTCCAATTGAAGATTAATACTAGACCATTTAGCCGGCCCGTGGGTCCATTTTTTAGCCCCTTTTCGATAATCCAAATCGTTCAATGTGCAGAATTCGTCAAATACTATATTCTTATGATCGATACTAAGTGTTATATAAATTAAAATTACAAAAGAGGTCATCAACTAACAAATTAGTGATGAAAAAATGATTAAGTGTTACATAAATTAAAATTATATGGGACTCAATGCAATTATATCAAAATTATAGAACTTACAATATTTTTTTTTTTCAAATTTTAAGAGAAGTCGGTGTAATTTACCATTTTTTCAAAAGACAGCAAAGTGTTTTTTTTATATAAAATAAAAAAAAAAAAAAAAAACACTATCAGTTGCTAAGGCCCTGTTTGAGAATAGGCTATTTTAATTGACTATTTGATTTCTTACACACAAAAAAAAAAAATATACAAATAATATTATGACAAGATATTTTATTTTATCTGAGGTGGACTATTTTAGCCCATTCCAAACGCCTAAGTGTCAAATCTATTTTAGTATTTGAAAATATTGATTAATTAATTATGTTTTGGGTCACGAGAATTAATTAATTTGAGAGTGTTGGTAGGTGCAAGGGATAGGCAAAGAAGACAATTGTCAGTTAAAATGAAAATTATTGTTAAAGCACATCAGTTACGATAAAGAAGGAATTGAACCAAATTTGGGATATGATCACCTTGACTAAAGTTGTATCGTGATAGAAACATTTTGAAAAATGTTCCACCATATAATGGATTCAAATTCAAATTGATGTGCTAAATAACATGCATATATACTACCAAAATAGTGAATCTATTACTTTATTAAAAAAAGAAAAAGAAAAAGAAAAATAATCTCTAAATTTTCATTTGATTCACTAGAATGAGTGAGAATAGAATAGACTGATCATTTCTTAAGAATGATCATTCCTTTCAAATGGTGAATAATAATTTTATTTATAATGCATTTTATTATTATTTTGTTAGTTAATCAAAAATGAAAATGAATATTTTGATTGAATGATCATTCTATTTCATTTTATTTCAATGAATTAAATACTACCATAAAAATAAAAATATAATGAGTTTAACAAATTTGACATTTTTACATTTTTCTCTCTTTAATGTTTAATTTCATAACACTTTGTTTCTTTATCATCATCAATCGTATTAGTAGTGGTTCAAGGGACAAGTAGTTTAGATGCTCGTCTAGGGCTGTGATTACAGAAGGCTGGCTTACACAAAAAATCAATCAAACAATTCTCAACCCAAAAAAAATTTTGTAAATAAAAAAAGAGAACAAAACAACATTTATAAGATACAAACACGGTCTCAATATTGCATTTATACCTCTTTCATTTTCTTGAACGAGATAAAATTTTCTCTTTCACCTCACCCGCGACAAGTTCTCTTTCTATATTATAATATAAATTTAAACTCTCATCATTATTCTTCACGGCTCTCTCAATTATATTAAATAAAAAATTTATTAAGAAAATATTTGAAACTTATAAAAATATTCTTTCATAAACTCTTATTTTTGTTCGGTACATCGGAATTAATTCATAAACTTTTATTGATAAGAGTTAATTAGTGTTACAGAGTTACTGATAAGAATTTATAAATAAATACTCTTGTGGGAGATTTTTGTAAGAATGTAACACAGCTGAATCTATTATCACCTTCTTTTTTTCTTTTTTTTTGATTTATTATTTTTTCCTCTATATGCTATTGTGCTATTAAAAAGGAATCTTTCTTACTAAATAAAAGTTCATCATAACTCTCTTTCACTTCCTTAGTCATATCAAAAGAAAAGTGCTATTGTTTATTTTTCTCTCATCAAATAATCACTCTCTCTTCTCAAGAAAATTAAAATAAAACAAAATAAAAATCATCTCGTTGTACTCCTCCCCCTCTTCATCTGTAGTGAAAAATCTTATCTTGCCTACGACAAATAATCATCCTTCATTTGGTCATCAAAAAATTGGGATTTGTATGATTATTGGGACTCATTTTAAATTTTATTTTGATAATTTAAATTATTTAAATTTTAGATAATATCAAAAAAAAAAAAATTGTGAAAAATAAAATTAATCGGATATTGGTAATTCTTTCATCAAATCACATTTGTATTCAATTTAATATATACATATTCATTTTTTATATATAGATGTGTTCTGATGAAATAGTTATCGATATCTAATTAACTTGATTTTTTATAAGTATATTATTTTCGATATTTCTCAAAATTAGAATGGTTCAAATTATTAAAATAAAATCTAAAATGAGTCTCACCATCTTGATGCACAACAATGACACCATGTCCTCAAAATTCTAATATGGATAAATTACAAATACACCCCATGAGATTTGTTTAAAATACAAATTGTCCCATGTGGTTATTACATCCTACCTCTTGAAGTTCTTATTTTCATAACAATAGTCTCTTTTGTTAATAAATCATAAAGTCAATTAACAGTTTTTAATTATATTATAAATTTATTTCACTTAATACTTCAAGTAATTTTATTAATGTATAAAAAAGTAATTATGAATTTTATTTTTTCAATGAATTTTGTTAAATACAAAATTTTAACAAGGGGTATTTGTAATTTTTTAAACCATAAAAGATAATTCATATTTTAAGTAATGTTATAATTTACACTGTAATAGTTAAGTTTAGATAAACTCATAGTAATAAAAAAATAAAAATTATAGCATATGAATTTTAAGTTTCATACGGTTGGTAATATGATTGAAAATTAACAATTTCATCTAAGATACATTGAAATTTATATTTTTGCATTTGATTATGCATTTGTCCATAAAATGTTTGTATTTTTATAATTCTTTTACCCACATTAAAAACAATATCAATATAATTATGTCAAGCTTATAAAATTTACTATAACTTCAATGGAGATCGATGTACTTTAACTTATTTTTAACAATTGTTTCAGTCTCTTTTAGAAAATTAGAAGGAAAAAAAAAAAGAAGAGAGAAAAAAAAAAAACAATATACGAGATGTTTCTGTTGTTAGTCTATTTTTTTTTTTTTTTTACAACCCCCCCCCCCCCCCCCAATAGGTAGGATGTTAGCTCAAATGAAAATTGGTATGCAAACAAATTATTTTATCAAAAATTAGAGTTAGAATGATGCGTTTCTAACAAATTTTGAAATTACGAGTTACAATATTGATTCTCAACTCAAATTACCCATTGTTTTTATTGGTATATATGGCGTGAATGAAAAAAAAAATGTAAAAAAAAGAAAAAGAAAAAGGACTAGCTAGAGAAAATTATAGACTGGTTGGTAAAGTTTATATATATAGTTTTACTTCTATATTTTAAAAAATAAAAATAAAAACTAGTTTTGTGTCTATTTTTATATACAAATAATATTTAAAAATTACTAAATTCTATGAAACAG